GTTTACGAATGCGGTTAAAATGTAGGGCAATGCGGGGTGGCCGCTCGGGCATTCCCTTGTTATAGATCTGAACGTCGTCCCCTGATAGGCATCCGTCATCACGAGGCTGTTCGGTATCTTTTCCTGCGAGAGGATTGCCAGAATTAGGTACTTGGGAAGAAGAGCCTTCGACCTTGTTCCCAGCTGAAGTTTTTCCTACACGAATCAACGGCATTTCTTCAGATTCTGAGCTAGAAAGGAAATACATAAAATCACTTGAGGAATCCTGAGAATTCTAGAGAGAGAAAGCTTGGAGATACGTGAGAGAAAAAAAACTTGAAACAGCAAGAAAAATGAGGATCAAGCACCTCTCTATAAATAGAGAAAGTGCCGCCCAAAAACCTAATCCATGAATAACACGCGGCATTACGTGATTATGATTAATCAGGGTGTATTTATGTTTCATTGTTAGGCACGTACCTCGAACGGGCAATGAAGAAGCATGATTGCGAGTACTGGTTAACCAGGCAAGCGAACGTCGAACGAGCACTTATGTTTTGAGGCAAATCTTTTCACACAAAGGAAAGCAACAAGGTCCATGAGAACGGCTAAATACTACTCAATTCGCCAAATTAACGAACAACAAGCCAAATAACTAAGATGTTTCAAATTAACCGAGTGACGAACGGGCTCACAGAGAATTAGCGAAGATCAGAAGCCCGAACGGCTATCAACATATGAAGGAAGCCAAATGCGGGTAGACTATCGGAAACATCTGAAGCCAGAAAAACTGCTAAGTCCTAAAAAATGATCAGAAGCCCGAACAACTATCAACATATGAAGGAAGCCAAATGCGGGTAAACTGACGGAAACGTCTGAGGCCAGAAAAAATTGCTAAGTCCTAAAATATGATCAGATGACCGAACGGCCATCAGCGCAAAAAGAAGGGGGTTAGTCCCTGGTAAATTGTCAGAACTATCTACTGCCCGAGCGGCAATCATACGGTGTTAGGAGTGTTAAGTAAAAAAAACGGGCTGAATCCCGAATGGTAAGCAATCATTCAATAAAAGCAAGAAAGATAGTATATGGAGCTTTGTGCAAAAGAGATCATATATATTCATCGGCTCTACCGGCCGGAAAATACAATTAAGGTTTATCAAAAGGGAGAAGGGGCGAAGGGATTACAATTGCTAAAAATATCAAACTCTAAATCTACTGTCCCACTCCATTATCTTCTTCATCACCTTCCTCCTCATCTGAGTCAGTAGGGGGATCAGGCTCCTTCCCCGCTTCACGGTCAGCAGCCCGTTGCAAGTCCCGTTGATACTTTTCGTATTGGGCTTCAACGATGGGCGCTTGGGGAAGATCAGCCAGCTCGACCGGCCTCCCTAGCAATTCTTGCAGTTTGGCGACAAAGGGGGCCATAATGTGCTGGCAGCCCATGACGTACAGAGATCGGGCCAGGGAATCATTGAACTTTTTTCCCCTTGGATCCTGGTTGAGCAGTTTGACCCCCTCGCTACGACGGGCATCACCCGTGGAGAAACGCTTGAGATAATCACCAAAGGTGACTGTGAGTTCCTGTTGCGCATAGTCTTTCTTCAAAATAGCGAACTCCTCAGACCCTTTGAATGATTCCCGGACGGCAGACAGGTCAACTTTCACTTCAGAAGGGCCGTCCGGGATACGGGGGGCGCACTCTTCAAACTTAACCAAAGCAGCTTCACCAGCATGAACTTTGAATTGAGAGGCCCCGAGCTGAACCCTGAGTTCACTAAGCTCCGACTCGAGGCGTTTTTTCTCCTCCGCAAAGGCTTTCCGTTCGGCTTCCAGAGCAGCAAAAGCAGCAGCTGCATTCTGCTCCGTAGAAGTCTGAGCGACGATCAGCTCCCGCTCCTTAGCCAGTCGAGTCTCTTTCAGCTGCAAACTGTAAAGCTCAACCTGCAGAATGTCGTTCGAGAAATGAGATGGTGTGAAAGGAAATTTAAAATTATGAGAAATATAGGGAAAAAAGTAAAATACCTACAGGGCTGCTAAGGCCAAGCATTCCTCAGATTGCTCGACCGACAGCTTAGGAACGGTGAAATTGTTGAAGAAAGCGGAGGTAGACCAAATCTGGCTTGCTGAACATCCACCTTTTTCTACAACGTCATGAACCGGATCCGCCAGTGAGATCCGGTCGACCTGGCCAGACAGCTGGACGGTGGGCATATCACCCGCACCCTGACCGGTCTCCTGAGCAGTTTGGAAGTGCTCATGAAATTGGTGCATCTGATCAGAACCAAACCGATCGTCGACCAGCATGGCATCAAATTGGTCCTGATGGACCTGTTGCAGTGGTTGTGGCTCTGGAACTGGTTGAGAAGACCCAGCGTCCTGAGCAGTAATAGTGGAGGGAGTAGGTTGGGGGTTCTTCCTGGCTTTCTTCCGCTTGCCAACCCCACCAGCTGCAAGAACTCTGATGTTGTCCATAGGTACGTCTGGATTTGGAGCTGAAAAATGACAAAGGAAAATGTTAGTACCGAGCGGCCTTAGCATGTGAGAAACTAGAAAAAAAATAAGAGAACGTTTCTCGCACGGGAAGGACCACCCGGACCATGGCACTTGATTTCTCAAAACAAGTAAACCCAAGAGAACAGGCAGTACCTATCCCGGCTTCGATTAGCCGATCGGGAGTCAGATAACTCATGATATCCACGCATTTATCTTTCTCCACAGCAAGCACGTCCTTGTAAATTTCCTCAGTAAGGACTGGATCGGGAGATTTGCGGGGAAAGGCATTCCATTTGCGGGGAACCAGGCCGTCCGGGACAGACACAAAGAAGAACCGATCTTTCCACCCCTTGATTGAAGTCGTATTACCCTTGAACATGATATGTCCCGTTCGGGCACTAGTGGCCAAATAGCCGTGTGTTTGTTGAGGGGCTACCTTAAAGAATTGGTGGAATAGATCTAAGGTCGGCCGGGCATCGACATCTTTACAACGGCAAATAAAGCCCGCCATTGCCCGATAGGAGTTCGGCATAATTTGGGCCGGTACAATTTCGTAGAAATTAAAAAATGAAACGAAAAAAGAATGTAACGGAAACCTAAGCGTGACCCTAATTGAATCAAAATGGACTACAACCATCCCAGGGGTTTGGCGCATTGGGTGAAGCCCAGCTCGCAGTCAGAAATTCACTGGGTCTGGGATTAGGGCCGGAAATTCGGCCCTATTGTGGGAGGTCAGTTTTTGCCGCCTCTCCCTGATCAGTTTTAGGTCAAGTGTATGACGAGGGAAATCGTTGGGACGTCCGGCCGCCATGGAAATTAGCTCATCTTCGGACTTGGTATCATCAGAATCTTCACTGGAGGAAGAAGAGCTGCCGGAGGAATCATCCGTCTCCGCCCTAACCTCCGCCGTCGCCGCCTTGGAACCCTCATCAAAAGGGACGGTGATAATCTCCACATCACGGTCCTCCCCTTGAGAAGCCATTTCCGAATCGGAACACCGTTGGGAATTCATCTCGACCAAGTCAGGAATGAGGCGAGAAAGTAGAGGGAGGGAAAGTACCTGAACAACGTAAGCTTGAAGAAATTTCAGAGAGAGCAACAATGCGAAGGAAATTGCAGAATCGAAACCCGGATTTGAAAAATTAAAGGCTAATTTATAGCCTTTAAACCGCCGTATCGAGGACCAATCAGGAAGCGACACATCACTAGAAGCATTTAAGCTAAACGTGTGTCTAATGAAAAGACTAAACAACGGTTATCATGATGAATATGGGGAAAATAAAACGACAGCCGTCAAATCACAGTATGGGGGACTGACCACTTCTGTACCCCGATCGCCATTCGGCAGTTGCAACATTGGTGTTCATACTTCCTAATGCACTCACTGTCATTCGAGACATCAGAAGTGGGGGACTTGTGTTGGGATATTGATCCAGAGGCCCAATACCCGGATAAAAAAGGCCCAGGATACCCGGCCCAAACAAACGGGTCCATGGCTCTATGATGAGCAGGCCCAGTAAAGAATCCATACCGAACGGGGTTCAGACCATATAACATACTTGGGCCAAATTGACAGCGCCATCCGCAAGGTCCAGCATCCCGTTCGAGCAACGAGTAACCAGCAAGTGGCCATGTGCAATTAATGTCAGATTGTGACATCAGCAAGTGGAAACATGGGTGATCAAGTCGGTGGAGCAACGACCAATCAGCATAGAGCAGCCCATGCTCTCCATTAGTATAAATAGAAGGTTTAAAATAATTGTGAGGGTTAGCATTTCAAGACCCAAGCTCTAGAATAGCATTATTACTTTTGTTTCCTGTATTAAAGCACTATTTCGACCTACCGATCGGGAAGTTTTCCTTGTAATCAGACAGGTTAATTAATACAAGTGGGCTTTTGGGTATTAGTGGATTCATCTTTTATGTTTTGTTATACACTTTGATTCTGGTCCATTCCTGATATATCTAAAGTTCGTGTTGGGCTTTCGGATCTACGGGACTTACTTTCAACAATTATGATATTTATTCTCATTTCTCATGGGCTTAGTTGATTATATTAGTTTTCTTTGTTCATTTAGAAGAAAGGTTATATTTTTTATTGACGATAACTTAAAGTTTGAGGGGTGATTAATGATTCAAGTTGCTTTTGTTAGAGTAATTGGTGTTATACATAATCATTGAACATATCTAGCAATTATTTTTAGGATGCTCATACTTGGATCGTTTTCAATCTTACATCAAACCAGATTAGATCAAAATGACAAGACTTGCAAACTTATAAAATAAACAGAGACAAAACATTTACCAGATCTGTTCAGATCATACCAGACTATAAAGTAAAAACATTCTTAATTTTTGTTTGTTGATTTCATGTCTGTTTTGAATTAACAAAAGTTTGACATTTCCAAATTGAGCAATTCTTTAGACATTTAGAAAAGGGGACTAGGGGAGTGAACATTCATTATGAACGGTAAAACGAGGCACGTGAGATAGATTCAAATTTGAAAAGGAAGAGGAGGGAAGCACGTGCCAATCGAATGGCCTTCTAAACGCTCCGTTTCCAGAAACCCTCAGAAATTTGCATTACAGAAGATCAAATAGAAAAATCCCTTCTGAAGTGGAAGGAGAAGGGGAGAAAAGATCGAAAGACAGTAGAGAAATGGAGAAATACGAGAAGCTCGAGAAGGTCGGTGAAGGAACCTACGGGAAGGTGTATAAGGCCAAGGACACGGCGACGGGACAACTGGTGGCTCTGAAGAAGACGCGGCTGGAAATGGATGAGGAAGGGATCCCTCCCACCGCTCTCCGTGAGATTTCCCTCCTCCAAATGCTCTCCCACTCCCTCTACGTCGTCCGCCTCCTCTGCGTCGAGCACGTAGAAAAGAATGGCAAGCCTCTTCTTTACCTAGTCTTTGAGTATCTCGACACAGATCTTAAGAAATTCATCGATTCCCACCGTAAAGGCCCAAATCCTAGGCCGCTTCCTCCTTCTCAAATCCAAAGCTTCCTTTTTCAGTTGTGCAAGGGTGTTGCCCACTGCCATAGCCACGGTGTTCTTCACAGGTACTTGATGCAATTCGATTTGACATTCCGATTTCACCTCAAATTGATCCACCTGGAAAGGTTTATGATTCTTCTCTAATTATTTCAGAGACCTGAAGCCTCAGAACCTTTTGGTCGACAAGGAGAAGGGAATACTCAAGATTGCTGATCTCGGCCTGGGCAGGGCATTCACAGTGCCACTCAAGAGTTACACTCATGAGGTTCGTTGTTTTTTCACATCTGGTTGTCTGTTATCATTTCTTAATCTCAGCTGGCATCGATGATACGTTTGCTTATGTTTCAACCCCAGATTGTGACCTTATGGTATAGAGCCCCTGAAGTTCTTTTGGGATCAACTCACTACTCGACGGCTGTTGATATGTGGTCTGTTGGTTGTATTTTCGGTATGTTTCTATAGGTTTAGATTGATGAGTAAATTGTGTGATCAGTATTGTTTGGTAATTCTCTTTGATCAGCTGTGGCTTTCTAATGAAATCCTGACTTTTGGCGGCATTTAAATTGATCGCCTGATAGATCATGAATGAATTCCTTCAGGGATAGTTTGGCATGTGGGATATGTTTGAAATGGAAAACGAAGGAAATTTCAAGAGAAATTTTTAGGGAAAGAAAATGTCAAGGAAATTTAAAACATTGTTATAAACTCAATAGCTTAAATTTTAACATTTTCAAATTCATTTTATATATTTATTTATTTCTATGTGTATCATATACAGTACATACTAATCAATCCGAATATATTTACAAAAACTTTAAACATCAATCGTATTAATATTCCTTGCATTTATGGGATCCAAACATAGCCTTAAAAGATTCAGTTGAATTCATTCCATTCGGGGACACATCCTTCTGAGAGAACATTTCTAGCCGTTTGTATTATTCTATCATCTATTCCTGCTTATCTATTTGGCACTTCTGGATCTTGTTGCAGCTGAAATGGTAAGGAGACAAGCTCTCTTTCCTGGGGATTCTGAGTTTCAGCAGCTGCTTCACATATTCAGGTATGACCGTATGAGTACTGTAATGGAGTTGTGTTATGTGGTTCCTTTGTTCTTTGCATGTTAAGTCTTCACAAATTGCAACACAATTTGCTAATAGCTTTTGGTTGACCTTTTTGCTATTATAAAATGCTAGAGAAAAAAGGGAAACAATGCTCAGGACTGTTATCGTGTGTGTGTGTGTGTGGTATGAAATTTAAAAGTGGTTATTGCTTATGAAACTTTACACATGTTTAAATATCTTATTCTTTTTCGAACGGAAATATAACTGAACAAATAGAACCTAAATAAATTGAGTTTGAGCCAATGTATCATTTGCCATCCTTAAGACTATTTTTTCTTCCAGAAAACACTATGCTTCCCTCCAAAAACTTTATTGAACCATTGATAGATCCCAGAAGCTATCAAACAAACTTAAAACAGGAATTTCAGAAATAACTCTCCTATTCCCTCTCAAAGTAAGAATCTCACTCAAGAAAGGTATAGAAGCCAAGAGAATCTCTGGAAATTGGAAATAATATTCATTCATGCCTGCCTAGCTTGAATATGGCTAGGCTATTTATAGAGAAAGAAATACAACTGACTAATAACCGACTAATAACTGTCGTAAACTGACTCCATCCATGATCTAATAACTACCTAGTGATCCATGATCTAATAACTACCTATTGATCCATGATCTAATAACTACCTAGTGGACTGATGCATGACACCAAACCCCACTTATTTCTCTAACTGATTCATTTAAACAAATAAACAATAATTAATAAGTAAATGAAGTCTCAGTCAACGATTGTTCCTCGTTTCTTGCGCCTCTGATATTTCAGCACCCTATCATTACCCCCTCCTTTGAAAGCCGACTTGTCCTCAAGACGAAATTCTGGAAATCGCTGTACTAGGAACTCATAATCTTCCCAAGTCTGTTGCGGTGCACGTATGGGTTGTAACAAACCAGCATGTGATAATGCGTCATATTTTCTCTTTTGACACACAAAGCAATGTTGAATGAGAGATCTAATAGTACCTGAGAGCCGTTTCAAACTTTTAAGGAATCCTCCCTGACAGCCCGAAGTCATTTCGGGAACTGTGATTTTGTTGAGGGCCCAATAATCCACACACATACGCCATAATTTATCTTGTTTCTTCCCCAACAGAACTGAACTTGCAAATTGGATGGAGCTGGGACTAATGAACCCTTTCTGGAGAAGGTCCTCTACTTGTCGCTCAATTTCATTCTGTTGGGAATATGGGTGCCTGTATGGTCTCAGGCTGGGAGGTTGAGCTCCTGGGATCAGAGGAATGGCATGGGAATGACCTTTGAATGGAGGCATGACGACTGGTTCTGCAAATACAGCTTCAGATTCCATGTACACCCTTTCCGCATTAAGTGAGTCAGGTCCAGGTGTACTAAATGCAGACTCCACCGTGGTCATAAGATTAAACCTTGCAGGCTGATGCTCTTTCTTTGATATTCCCTGTAACTTATATTTCTTCCCATTCACCCAGAAGATGAGGAACATCTCATTCCAATTAGATTGGATGGTATTGAGTGATGCAAGCCATTTAATTCCCAGTACAATATCAGAATCCACAAGGGGAAATGGGTAAAAATCTTGGGTGATGGTCAAACCTGGAAGTTGTACTGAAATTTCCTTGCACACACAGTTGCAATGCACCACATGACCGTCACCAAGCTGAACCCCAATTGTCTGAGTAGAGGAGGTGGCCAAGTCAAGTTCCCTTACCAGTGAATCTGATATGAAATTGTGAGTTGAGCCACTATCTACTAACAACAATACTTCTTTGTTAGCCAATAAGCCACGCAGTTGCATTGTTGTTGTTGTTGGACTGCCCAGGATGGCGTTAAAAGAAATCTCTGCATCTACTCCTGGTTCCTGTTCTGTGCCTTCGGCTAATTCTGAAGAGTTTGACATTGAATTCTTGTCTTCTACAACTTCCAGCAACGAAAACGTAATAGAACAACGATGGCCTGGTCGGAATGGGTCCCCACAGCGGAAACACAATCCCTTGTCGCGCCGTTGCTGTTTCGTTTCTTCCCACGAGCGTGCTGCGGATGGAAGTAAATTTGTGGTTCTGTTTGGGTTCGTCAAAGAAGAAGGCGTGCTTGAATTTCCCGGTGTCACCCCCTGGTCACGTGCTGGAATAATGGGATTAGTATTGGAGGTGGGCTGACTCTGACAAGCGTACGAATTGGGCCTGTACCCCTTCATTTGGGCTAGCTTTTTCTCAAATTCTAATGCTAAACTAGCAGCCCGATAAACTGACCTTGGTTTATGAATTCTGACGTCTGATTTGATTTCTTCTCTAAGACCATTGAGGAATACTCCAAGCAAGCAGTGCTCTGGCCAGTTGGTTACTCGTGCAATCCTTCGTGCCCATTCTTGCCGGTAATCCGCTACAGAACCTGTTTGTTTAATGTTGCACAAGTGCTCATCTGGGTTCAAGTACTCTGGAGGCCCATAATGTTCCTTCAGAGCTTTCACCAATTCTTCCCAGTAAAGTAAAGTCCTTTCCGTATTCATCCACGAGAACAGATCCAGAGCATCTCCTTCCAGATACATTGAAGCTATGCCCACCTTGTCATCTTCTGGTGTTTCGTAATAACGGAAGAACTTCTCAGCCTTAAGAATCCACCCACGCGGGTCACCTCCCTGGAATTTCGGGAATTCAATTTTCGCTTGTGGTGGTCGCGGGCGGTGTGAATCAGATTCTTCTTCAGTATCATCGCCCCACTGTCTCGTCTTCCCTTTCCCTCGGTTGGATTTGGAGGCTTGAATCTCCAAGGCTATCACTTTTTCCTTTAACTCGTCAAGTGTCTCCAGTTTTGCTGCAATGGTGGCCAGAGGATCGGCAGAAAATGGATTTTCCTCTGGATTGCGGGTTGCCGCTGATGAGCGTGTGGTCACCATGGATGGATAAAAACCTGTCTCTGATACCAAATTGATAGATCCCAGAAGCTATCAAACAAACTTAAAACAGGAATTTCAGAAATAACTCTCCTATTCCCTCTCAAAGTAAGAATCTCACTCAAGAAAGGTATAGAAGCCAAGAGAATCTCTGGAAATTGGAAATAATATTCATTCATGCCTGCCTAGCTTGAATATGGCTAGGCTATTTATAGAGAAAGAAATACAACTGACTAATAACCGACTAATAACTGTCGTAAACTGACTCCATCCATGATCTAATAACTACCTAGTGATCCATGATCTAATAACTACCTAGTGATCCATGATCTAATAACTACCTAGTGGACTGATGCATGACACCAAACCCCACTTATTTCTCTAACTGATTCATTTAAACAAATAAACAATAATTAATAAGTAAATGAAGACTCAGTCAACGATTGTTCCTCGTTTCTTGCGCCTCTGATATTTCAGCACCCTATCAACCATATGTGACTCTCCTATGGAGTCACATGGGTAACGTGACATCATCTCCACCACATAATATTTTAGTGGGAGTCCCCACTACTCTGCTTCCCTCTGGATCTTCTTTTTCTTTACCTAAAGAGTTCCACACCAAAACCGACCCTTAATGTGTGTCATTTGTTTGCAACTTAAGAAAAATTGATAACTTACATACATGTTCAGGATGCTAGGAACACCAACAGAGCAGCAATGGCCTGGGGTGAGTTCTCTTAGGGACTGGCATGTCTACCCACAATGGGAGCCTCAGATTTTGGCTCGGGCTGTTCCATCAATGTGTCAGGATGGTGTTGACCTTCTATCAGTAATTTCTCTTTTCAACACTGAAATATTTTGATCCTCATTGATCCTAAGTGAGAAGCAAACTAACAAATAGTAATGATTGCAGAAAATGTTGAAGTATAATCCAGCTGATAGAATTTCAGCTAAAGCTGCTCTTGATCATCCCTACTTTGACAGCTTGGACAAGTCTCAATTCTGATGCCCCCAGGTGTGAATCTAATGGATGTCATCATCTTGGTGAATACAAACTTCTTTCATGTAACCTTTTCAAGGAAATGTCTTCCCAATGCGAGCTGTAATATCCGTCATATCAAATGTATTTGCCATGGTGCTTTTCTGTGTTCTCTTGTGACGATTACTTGGTAATGGAACCTGATATAAAAAGTTTAGTACATATCTTACTCACAAACTCAACTGAAAGTTGGAATGTTTAATTTTATAAGTTAATTATTCTTTAACTTGATGCGATTAAAAGAGTGTGTATGATTGTTCTGTTTTTGAGCTGTTTGGAGGCTGTGAATGAACCATTCAACTGGACTTAAAGCTTAGTACATAGGTAACTCACACACGCAACTATAGTTGGACGGTTTTGTTGCGATGCAGGGAGTGTTCGTGTATGATTTTCCAATTTTGAGTAGTTTTGAGAATGTGATCAAAATCACATTAGGTAATGGTATATTTGAGTTTCTTCTGTGAAGTGTTTTGCATGTTCACCCAAGTACCTAATAAGGACACGGAAATACACATTTTTTGTCGCTGAATTAGTTACCATATTGAAATATCAAACTTATGTTCTTAGATTGTAAATGATACAATCGAATTGAAAGATTGTAAATGTCATCCCCAGTTTGGAAATACACATTTTTTGTTGCTCAATTAGTTACCATATTGAAATATTAGACTTGTGTTCTCATATTGTAATAGGGGTGGACTCGGTCCGGGTGGCCCGACCCGGAACCGACTCGGGACCGGCACTGTTCCGGCCCGGCTCGAACCGGTGGCCCGATCAGTGACCGGTCCGGGTAGGCCCGACCCGAGGGGTTTCCGGTCCGGGCTCGGGTCACCCAAAACAAGGCTCGGTTCGAACCAAATTGATTGTTTTTGTTTTTTTTCATTTGTTTGGGCTCCACCCGGGTTGGGCTTGATGTTTAGGAGGGATTTGGGGGAGTGGAGGGTGAGGGAGGGAGGGGGGGGGGGGGGTCAGGAATAGGTAGTAGGTAAACAAACAAAAAAAAAAATAACCAAGCTCGAGGCCCGGCCCGGACCCGGTGGCTACCCGGGCCGGTTCCGGGTCCACCTATTCAGCCCCGCCGGCCCGCCCGCGCCTAGGCCCAACCCGGACCCAGCTTGGCCCGAATCCGCCCCTAGTATGTAAATGTTACAATCGAATTGAAAGATTGTAAATGTCATCCCTGCTTTGAGGTGGCTTGTGGTTGTATTCTTTGAGCATGTTCCTCATGAAGTGTAGATGGTCTACACCAAATTTGAGCAAAATATTCAATGGGGAAGGTATTCAAATGATCTTGGGATGATAAATGCTTTTATATGTATATTTTTGGCACATTTATCTTTCAAAAATCATTTGAATGTATTCTCGTTTGAATTTTTTGCTCAAATTTGTTAATTTGATGGAGATCATCTACACTTCGTCAGTACACTACTAAATCATTGATCAGACAATATTGCCAGATAAAATAGAGTGGGGATGATAATACCAGAGAGGCGATGACAAATTATATTCAGTTGTATTAGATGATTAAAATATGGTCAAAGTTTCAAGATGAGCTACCTGATTAAGTAGGCCCGGGATTTAGAACCATAAAACTGGGAAAATTGATCCGGTCCAAACCAAATTTTCCGGTTCGGTTCCTATAATTTTGGATTTCAACTTTTTTCAGTTTGGTTTCGGTTCGGTTCTAGTTCAGTTCCGGTTCCTAGAGTCTAGAACTTAACTTCTTATAAATTGCATGAGTAATCTTCCGTTGAGGTGTTTCTGGGTGGATTTTTCTTGATGAAATTTTGTGGGCTTATTTTTCATGAAATATAGATTATCTCCACTAAATGTGAGTTTAAAATTCAATCGAGAAGTTAGTTAAATAAATTATTGAAATACACTGTGTCAAAAAATATATAAAAAATGCAATGTTTTCAATTTTTTATTTAACTCACTTTCCTATTGCATTTTAAATTGAAACTTGGTGGATATAATCTTCACTTCATTTGGAACATGTTCACAAAACTTCATCAACAAATTCTATCCGGAAGCAGGGCCGGCTCAGACATACAAAAGGCCCTGTGCAAAATTGAATATGAGGCCCTAAAGTATAAAACACTATATTAATACTCTCACCATTTTTAAATAATAATCTCCTTAGATCTTTTGTGGGTTTTATGAAGAAAATGGTAGGAGTAGTATAAAGGTGTAAGGTAAATGAAAACGTAGAAAAGAGAATATATTAAGAAACGTAAATAATGACAAAGTATGAAAAAGAAAGTAGTTACAAGCTCGTTCCATTCTGTACGAGGGCTTTTGTGCTAATTAATGTAACTAGGCCTTGTGAAATAGATAAATTACACAATTGTAATTAACAATTGTATTTTAATTACATATAAATATTACAATTTAATGCTTGTTTTTTAAAAAATACGAGATAGGAATTTTTAATCAAATAAATAAAGATTTATTATATTATGTGGACTATATTTAAAATTTTGGGCCTTCTGAAATCGAGAGGCCTTGTGCGATAGCACTTCTTGCACGCCCTCATCTACGGCCCTGTCCGGAAGCACCTCAAATGGAGGTGTGGTCAAGCGTTCCAAGCGGAAAATTAAATATTTGTTTTCCTTAATATACCTAATATATTTGGACTAGGCTAATCCGAGTAGTTGTTATCGAACTACTTTGTCCACTTTTATATTTATTATTTGTTTGTAATTGTATTTGTTATTTGAGTTCACCTAAAAAATGAATTAATATTTTGCCGATTGTGTTATATGTTCATAGCAAGTTACAAATATTACTAGTCAGTTTATTACTACGTACTTTTTATTTAGGCTAAAGGGTTAAATAGCCTCTGTACCGGTTATGTAAGCTCAATTCAGTCCCTGAACTAACAAAAGGTTCAATTCACACCCCGAACCGTTAAAAAATGGTTCAAATTTCATTTTTTACGGGTAAACAACTGGTCATTTTTTTAATTTTTTAAGTGTTTCTATTTTTTTTTGGATTTATTGCAATTTTGATACTTTTTAATAGTTTAGGGGTGCTGTTCCAAAAAAAAAATTATTAAGGGGTGCGACTTGGACCTTTTTTACCAGTTGTTTAACCTTAAAAAAATGAAACTTGAACCATTTTTTGTTAGTTCAGGGTGTGAATTGGACCTTTTTTTAGTTCAGGAAATGAATAGAGCTTACAAGACCGGTACATGGGCCTACTTGACCTTTTAGCCTTTTATTTATGGTGCATTACTTGTAGAAGAATATTATTTTGGGGTTGAAACCTTGAGGCTATTAAACTGTTTCGCTTGATGGTTGATGCCTATTTTACACCTTTATGCTTTTGTTATGTAAAAACTTAATGTTTGCACTTGAATATTTTTGTGATATTTGAACATTGGGATATCATGTATGTATAATGTAATGGTCAAATTTCATTATTTGAAATTTGAATTTTTTTATGTAACTGAAGGCAAATGTATTCATTTTAGAAGGATAATAAATATTTATAAGGAACCAAATTTAATAACTAGGACCGAATCGAATTTAACAACTAAATTTTAAACTATAACCGAACCGAATTTAATGTTTATAATTTTTAGGGGGCAGAACTACATATATCATACCCGACCCATTAAATAACGGGTTTGGATCCGGGTTCGGGTAACGGAATTAAATGTAGACTCATACCCATTGAAAAAGACGGATCCGGGTCAGGTTTGGGTCTAGACCCGACCCATTGACAGATCTAGAGTAAATGGTGCAATTATTAAGAGAAATTTTTTATGTGATTTATTTTAAATTAATAAAGTAAGAATTATTTAGAGCAAAACTTTTACATGTTTGATACGAAGTACTCCGTATAAGACAATGTTAATATGATGGATTCAAAAGAACGGTTAGACAATATTCTTAACTAGACGCAAGAGTAATTAGGGAAGATTCTATTTAATCTTCATATATGTATGCTCTTTATATTGTGCACGTATTTTAATTTGATTTACATAACAAAAAATATTAAATATCGACATATTATTGTCTCATGCATTAAATATCGACATATTATGCTCTCTATGTACATCTTTGGCCGCGTAAATTAAACCACTATTTACACTCTTATTTTATCCGTGTACCCAAATGACTTATATATATTTTTTTAAATGGAGGACGTAAAAAAGGTTTATATCAAAATATATCCAATATAAAAATAAAATTCAAAAGGGATAGAGAATACGTGCTGAATCACAATTGAAATAGTATTTCACTCGTGCGTTGCACGAGATGTAAAATGCAGTTATAATAAATGTTATCAGTTTAATAAGCACACACTATATATCATTTAAAACTTCTTTGTAGGCTACATTTTTGCAGTTTTTTCTGATTCTCCTCATCGTCACATATCACAAACTTCAAGTCAGACGTACTCGTAGCTCTCGAAATTGCAACATATAACTACTGGACGTCGTAGAAAAAACGAAGGTGCAAGATATTACCATCAAGGGCTGAAAGCAGTGAAAGGGAGCCTCACATCCGTCGAGATTAGACTAATCATAGGAATAAGAAACTTCTCACTTGCAATAGTTCCCGGCATCATTTGTGCCTCAATATATGTACCAAGTTTCGTCACTAAAAGTCGGTAACCAAATTTTCCAATATACCATTACTCATGCATTGCACGGAATGTTTTGGTTAAATATTTCTCAGATTTTTAAATTTTTAAATAAATACTACTCCCTCCGTCCCATGTTACATGTCTTACTTTCCTTTTTGAGTTGTCCCAAATTAAGTATCACATTTCCTTTTTTGGAATGAAAGATGTGATCTACACCAAAACAACGTAACGACAACATCCAAGCCTTAATCCCAAAAGATTTTGGGGTCGGCTAACATGAATCGATCCATGATATCGATGTCAAAAAGAGAAGACATACAAGAAGAAAAGAAAAAAAATGAATATGATAAAGATAAATAAAAGATAACAATATCATAAGAATATAAGAAAGATAAAAAGAGATAAAAGAGAATAAAAAAGCTAGAAGATAAAAATAACATAAGAACATAAAAAGATAAAGAAGATAAACGATATAAAAAATGAGGAAAGACAAAAAAGAGATCAATCGTCCACCCGGTTGTGCGTCCTCCACTTTTCCCTCTCCTAAGTCATACTCTCATCCAACCTAAGAAGACACATACAAGTTCCGATTCCTCGAATCTAAGTCTGTTTGGGTCTTTCTCTCCCTCTCCTCTCAGTCTCTTCTTCCCACCCTCAAGTCGTCTACACCATTTACTCAAATCTCTATCATAACTTTTACCTTTTCAACCACTTTATTAATAATTGTGGCAAAGTCAAATGAGACACATAAAATAGGACAATAGTACTACACAACTTTTAAAACTGGAAGCTTTTAGTCTCAAAGGGACGAGTCACCTTGAAGTATTTCAAAAATACTTCCTACTGCGATAACTTCAACTTTGTCAAACATAGAAAACATATAGGCTTATAGACAATCCGTGTAACAATACGAGTAATTCACCCGCTCAATTAAAATTCAATTTTTGAACTGTGTTCAATTTTGTACCAAACGGGATTCGAAGAGTCCAATAATCATCTTTATCAATTGAGAAGAGGCAGAGATACAATCGCCACCAATCGCAGATATATTTGTGGTAGGAAGGTCGAATTCAAATATGGTTAACCAATTGGAATAGTCCTTGCCATTCAACCAAACATCATGTTGATAAGAGCGTCGATATTCTCTTTCTTGATGGAGCATATATGTTTCTCAAGGCAATAAGGTTAAGCGCTATGTGTACCTTCAACATTTGTGGAATGTCAATCCACTTGAATGTCATCTACCTCTAAGATAGAGTTAGAAGCAATAGAGGTGAGTAATTACATTTACGTGTTTTCACATGCTTTTATTAAATGTTAAATGTGAATATAATTTAAAGAATAATAAGTTTAGATTTAGATGGTCCATCTCACCAAACTCCTGGAATAAATAAAAATCTTGAATCAGCATCAGAGAATGCAGATGCAATGGAGTTGGGCATGCAGAGAGTGGTTCTTTCCAACTTAAATGACAGTGGTGTTCAAGACAGAGGTAGTTCCAATAATGTTCTAATTGGTAAATTTATCCTAAAATGTCAATTTTATAAAGTATTTTCTACCCGTAAATTGTAGATTTAAACAAGAATGCATTTAGATGTAGGTGGTCCATCCCAACAAATTCCTGAAATAAACAATTGTATTGATACACCATTTGAGAATGCGGATGCAATACAGTTAGATATGCAGAGAGTTGATCAAACCAACTTAAATGACAGTGATGATGACGGAGATGGTGATTCCAATAATATTCCAACTGGTAGTTTCATCATCAAATTTCAAATTTATATTGTTAATATGATAAACACTTGTAATTGTAATAGTCTATTCATTAAATTTAAATGTACATTTTGTGGTTCCAATTGTTTTCTTATGTTTAGGTTATTGGGATGTCGGGGATCCTTCTTTTGTTTGTAGCTTTTGCGGAGAATTATTTTGGTATGAAGAGAGATTAGCTGCTCTTTATAAGGCAAAAGATCCAAAATATTCTTGCTGTTGTTTGCAAGGAAAAATACAACTACCACTACTAAAAAGGCCTCCATTATTTATTGAAAATCTTTTTTTTGGGTCAAAATGCAAGGAGCAAACATTTTTTGCAAAATATTCGTTCATACAATAATACAATAATATGTTCTCCTTCACATCTTTGGGTGGAAAAATTGATACCACCTTGCATGACGGAAAATCCCCCCGATGTTTAAGCTACATGGGCAAAACTTTCATTTGTGGGGGAGTTTGTTACCGTGTGGAACTGCGGTTCCCAAATTTGCACAGTTGTACATATATGATATGGAGAATGAAGTTTGTAATAGAATTAATTCTGTGCGGTAAGAATGGTGTATTTGTGTATATTGTTTATATCATTTCTTTATTAGAGGTTAATTATATAACTAATATTTCTTATACACACTCAGGAAAAGAGAAGAACCTCATAATTTGAATGAAGAAATTGTTGAGGGATTGAAAAATATTCTTGATGAGCATAATGTGCTGGTGAAATCTTTTAGAATGGCTGGAAAGAAAATCCACGAAGAAGGATGTGTTGAGTTTAAGTTGAAGCTCATAGGAAAGAGAGCAAGGGACGGGAGAACCTACAATCTACCTTCAGTATTAGAGGTTGCAGCTTTGGTTGTGGGCGATTTTGATTTGTCATTAGGACAAAGAGATATTTTGGTCGAGACTTGCACTGGAAGGTTGCAACGGATTAATGAGTTACACCCTTCATATTTAGCGCTCCAATATCCACTTTTATTTCCATACGGGGAAGATGAATTTAGAGAAGACATACCTCTGTGCAATAGAAAATCGGATCATGTCCGAGGGAGACAAATGATGAGCATTAGAGAGTTTCTTGCATATCGGTTGCACGAAAGAAATACAGAGATATCCATTATATTGCGTGCTAAGAAGTTATTTCAGCAATATGTTGTTGATGGTTACACTCTAATTGAATCGAGCAGGTTAAGCTATATTCGAAATAATCAAAAGCAATTGAGGTGTGAAATGTTTAAAGGATTGAATGAAGCTTTATTACGTGGTGACACAAATCCTGCCACACAGGCGAAGCGCATTATACTCCCATCTACATTTGTAGGTGGAGAAAGATTTATGATTCAAAACTATCAAGATGCAATGGCCATATGTAGATGGATGGGATATCCAGATTTATTTATAACTTTCACGTGCAATTCAAAATGTCCAGAAATACAGGGCTACCTTGATGAACGGAATCTCAAACCAGAGGATTGACCCGATATTATTTGCAGAGTTTTTAAGATGAAATTGGATGGTTTGATCAATGATTTCCGTCGCAACAAGAAATTTGGAACTTTAAAAGCAGGTATTTTACAAATTATAGAAAAAATGTAATATTTAATTTTCCAAAAGCGTGGTTTGCCACATGCCCACATATTGTTGTTTCTTGAGAAAAGTGAAGATCTAGCAACAACGGATCACATTGATAAGATCATTTCAGCCGAAATTCCTTGCGAAGAGACCGATCAAGAATATTTTAATGCTGTGAAGGAATTTATGATGCATGGGTGACGAGCACTTTGTCACGGTGCGTCAAAATAAATTCAATACTAACACTTATACGTAGTATAGCGTAGTAGAGTTCGTATCCAAAGGGAAAGGAAATAATTCTCTTTTTATGAACTTAATAAATAAAAAGGAGGGTTTTGGGTTTGAATGATTTAAGTTAATTAAGAACTAAGATGAACAACCTATATGTGTTTAATTCAAAAGTAAAAGGGACTTGGCTTTGCTACTTTCCACTTGTTGATATATTTTAGTCGATCCTTGTTATATCTATAACTTATCCCCTCTCGAATACTCAATCGAGGAGTATCTCCAATTCATCGAGGGTAGTTATTAACAACGACCGTTCATTAATAACCCTTACTATTAATCAAATATAGAACAACGCCGTATACCGATAAAATAGTAGCATTCAATTTTTTTAACTCCTTGATGAAATCAATTGGGATTGATAACCTTAACACAACGGTTTCGGTTTAACCAACAAAATTGATCCCTCTTAAGTCTATTAACCACGACCGTGCATTAATAAACCGAAGTTACTTACTTGTGAAACCACCAACGATTAACCATCGGTTCGTTGATCGTTTCTAGTAGTAATTAATGTCGGAACGTTAACTAATCGTCACTTAGCAACCCTCCAACATTAATATAGAATGAGATTAAGGGAAGAATTAATAATCAAGAGAAGAAATTAAGAAAATAACTCACAACTTTAATAATCAACAAGCTTCAAGAGCAAAACCAAGAATGGAAGTTTAGCTCCTCATTTGGAGACTAAACATAGGTAGAAAATATAAAGAAATGCTATTCTAAACTGAGCTTAAGAGTATGGAAGAAGGAATGATTAAAAGTGAAGGAAAAGTGTGCTATTTATAGGTGTTTTCAACACCCTGGGGCGGATACCCGACCGGGTAAAGTGTCATACCCGACCGGGTATCAGTCAAAATCAAATATTTGCCACGTTCTGGTGATCTTCGCACGCCGTTTTGTCCCGGGTCACATCTGACCCGACCGGGTCAAGTAGGGGACCCGACCGGGTCCAGTGACTTTCTTGGCAATTTCGTCTGTTAAATCATACCCGACCGGGTGGGGGTTTCTACCCGGTCGGGTTTCACTCTTGGGCAGTCAAATTTCTTGTTTTCTTCTCTTCAAAGTCTTTCTTTCCAACACCACAAATCCTAACTATACTTTACAACTTATAAATAAAGAATAAAATACAATTACAACTGAAATCACATAAATGTTTACAAATTAAATAAAACGTCAAACAATCAACATAAATCAAACATAAAAACATATAATTATGCACTACTAATTAGTGTGCATCAATGGGCCGTGCAGAAATTTGAGAAAGAAGTCAACTTGCATGGTAGATGGTAGATGCTTGAAACATTTTCCGAAAAGATTCGTCGAGCACACCACTTTGGATGAAGATGGGTATCCTGTGTATAGGAGAAGAAATGATGGGAGAACTATTTCAAAAAATGGCGCGGATCGGAGTTGGATAACAAATATGTGGTGCCTCATAATAGATATTTATTGCTAAAATATGCAACACACATCAATGTGGAGTGGTGCAATCAGTCTAGATCTATCAAATATTTATTCAAATATGTGAATAAAGGAAATGATAGAATCACTGCAACATTCTACCAAAGTGCCAATGGAGATCATGTAGAGAATAATGTGGATGAAGTGAAGATGTATTATGATTGCAGATACATTTCATCAGGTGAGGCTGCATGGAGAACTTTAGGATTTGAGATTCAATACAGAAGTGTTGGGGTGGAGAGATTAAGCTTTCACTTGCCTAATGAACAAGTTGTTTCTTTTAACGACTTGGAGCCCATAAATGAAGTTCTTGAGAAGCCAAGTGTGAAGGAAATCATGTTTCTTGCTTGGTTAAAAGCAAATGAAATATATCCTGAAGCAAGAAACTTGACTTATGCTAAAATGTCAATTAAATTTGTGTGGAAGCCATCTACTAGAGAGTGGGTACCGAGGAAGAGAAATTTTGCCATTGGAAGGCTATTTTATGTGCCACCAGCTTGCGGTGAATTATTCTATCTTAGATGTCTTTTGAATCTTGTTCGTGGACCAACATGTTTCGAAGATATAAAGAAGGTTGATGGTGTCCAATATGACCCATTTCGTGATGCTTGCTATGCTTTAGATCTACTAAACGATGATAAGGAATATATAGATGCAATCAAAGAAGCAAGTTTTTGGGCAACAACACATTGTTTGCGCAAATGTTTTGTTGCTCTCTTAATTGCTGATTGTTTAAGTAGACCAGAGGAGGTTTGGGAAAAATGTTGGGTTTTTTTATCAGAAGATATCCTCCAAAAACAACGTGTGTTGCTTAATCATCCAGGTATACTTTTAGTTTTTTTATTATATCCCACATTTTGAAATTTTTACTATGCAAATTTATATTATTGATTTTAGTTGTTTATTGTAGATATCACGCTGTCAGATGAAGAATTGAAAAATTATGTTTTGTATGAAATTCAAAAGATGTTATGCAGTTGTGGAAGGAGTTTGGAAGAACTCCATTGCATGCCATGTCCTGATCATAGTTTTGTATCAAATAATACCAATCGATTGATATATGATGAGTTGAAGTATGATCGAGCCAAATTGTCAAAGGAGCATGAAGAGTTGCTGGGTAATCTAACTGTGGAGCAAAGAAATGTCTATGATACAATAATGAATGCGGTTGATTCAAATAGGGGTGAAGTCTTTTTTGTGTATGCATACGGTGGAACTGGAAAAACTTTCGTATGGATGACTCTTTCCGCTGCCATACGCTCTAGGGGAGAACTAGTATTGAATGTTGCATCAAGTGGTATAGCATCGCTATTACTTCCAGGAGGTCGAACTGCATATTCTCGGTTCAAAATTCCAATTCATCCGAATGAAGATTCTACATGCAATATAAAACAAAGTAGCGATTGCCGAACATTTGGTCAAGTGTAAGCTTATAATTAAGGATGAAGCTCCAATGGTGCATAAACATTGCTTTGAAGCCTTAGATCGAAGTCTGCGTGATATATTGAGGTTTCAGAATCCAAGAAGTCTTGAATTGCCCTTTGGTGGAAAGACAGTAGTATTTGGTGAAGATTTCAGACAAATCTTTCCTGTCATACCTAAAGAAACAAGACAAGATATTGTTAATGCATCTATAAATTCTTCCCATTTGTGGCAACATACAAATGTCATGCGTTTGACAAAAAATTTAAGGCTTCTTCATTTGCCAGCTAATGAGCAGTCAAAATATTTGATTAAGTTTTCTGAATGGATTGCAAGCATTGGTGATGGCACTGTGGAAGGACTAAATGATGGGTTTGTGGAGAATTAGATTCGAGATGAGTTTTTGTTAAAAGATTTCGATGATCCTATAGGAAAAATGGTTGAAAGCATTTATCCTTCCTTTGATGCTATTCACGAAGATCCCAGTTATTTATAAAAGAGAGCAATATTGGCACCCACTCTCCAGGTTGTTGATTCCATCAATGACTACATGCTTTCCTTAAATGGTTCTGAGATGAAAACCTACCTTAGTTCTGATAGCCCGTGTAAATCAGATTCAAATTCTGACTTTTTAGCATATATTCATACTCCAGAATTTTCAAATGGAATTAAAGTTTCAGGAGTACCAAATCATGAACTGCATCTTAAAGTTGGAACACCAGTGATGCTAATGAGGAACATTGATCATTCTCAAGGGCTGTGTAATGGGACTAAGATGGTTATTACTAGTTTAGGTAAGCATGTTTTGGAAGGAAAAGTTTTGACAGGGTTGAGTGCAGGTGAGAAGGTTTTGATTCCAAGAATGTCTTTGACTCCATCTGATGTGAGATTGCCATTTAAGTTTGAAAGAAGACAGTTTCCTTTGATTGTCTTATATGCTATGACGATAAATAAGAGTCAGGGACAATCGTTGTTGAATAATGGATTAGTCTTGAAAAAAGCCATTTTCAGTCATGGACAGTTATATGTTGCGCTTTCACGTGTCACTAACCCTGCGAGTTTGAAAATAGCTATATGTGACGCAGATGGGAAAAGTACCAATGTAACAACGAATTTTGTATTTAAGGAAGTATTCCGAAATTTGTAAAAACTTTTATTTGGAAATTGTTATTATTCCTAACTTTTTTAGGAACATTGTTTTGATTTTGATTGATATTATTCCATATGATACTCCACTATATTTTTAAACTTATGAAACTGATTAAACTTACATATTATTTTTAAATTTCAAATATTTGATTTTTATAGGTATTAATACACATGGAACTCTAATGTACGCATAGAACTTTATTAAACTTACGTATTATTTTTTTATTTCAAATGTTTGATTTTTTATCTTGCGGAGAATATTTTTTCACGTAATAACTTCCCGTGCATCGCATGGGTAGAATACTAGTCCATGTAACATTACGAGTGATTCACCCGCTCAATTATATTGAAATTCAATTTTTGAACTGTGTTCAATTTTGTACCAAACGGGATTTGAAGAGTCCAATAATCATATTTATCAATTGAGAAGAGGCAGAGATACAATCGCCACCAATCGCAGATAAATTGGTGGTAGGAAGGTTGGATTCAAATGGTTAACCAATTGGAATAGTCCTTGCCGTTCAACCAAACATCATGTTGATAAGAGCGTCGATGTTCTCTTTCTTGATGGAGCATATATGTTTCTTTTTAGCAGATAGTCATGTCTAATTTGTGATATCCAAACCAGAAGTTAAAACTGTACTCAATGATGTTTCTCAATACGTACTATATAAGACAACCACTACCTGCAGATTCCAATCTCTTAAAAGGAAAAAAGAATATATGCTGAATCACAATTCACA